TGGTTTGAGGTAGAAATGTTGTGAAGGATTTGAGTTAACTTGTGAAATACTTGTTCTTATTTTGTGATTGGTACTGATATGGTGGGACCGGGTTGCACGCCGCAACAGGAGGAATAAGGGTGAAATGTGTCTGGTCGGATCGGGTTGCGCGCCGCAACAGGAGAAATAAGGGTGAAATGTGATTGTCTGGTGGGATTGGGTTGCGCGCTGCAAGAAGGAGTAATAAGGGTGAATCTTCATATTGTTATTGATTATATGGTGGGATCGGGATGCGCGCCGCATCAGTTGTTGGTTATGTATTCTTCCTCTGCTGTGATTCATTATTGTGGTATTAAAACTTTCTTAAGGATTTGTTATAGCTGAGTATTGGTATAACGACTGAGCTCCGTATTTATTTAACGCAAGTTACTGTCCTATTTCATTCCGTATTTTCGTTTTGCCTTATTATAAACTGTCGCAGGATATATTGTTTATGCCCCGCCGTAGCTTCGTCACTACTTTGTCGAGGATAGGCTCGGCACTTACCAGTACATGGGGTCAGTTGTACTGATGCATTCTGCGCAGATTTCGGAGCTGGTAGTGGTTGATCGAGAGGTCTGTTGCTGATATTTCATTCAGGATACCCAGGTAGTCCTGCAGGCATCCGCAGGCCCTGGCGTCCGCTCTTATGTTTTACATTTATGTTTTTATCTTCTTTCGAGACAGATGTACTTTTCTTTCAAACCATTACTTGTAGTATTCATAGAATGTTCGTGAGTTGTGACACCAGTTTCTGGGTGGTAACTATCTCGGTTTTGTTATTAGCATAAGGATAATCAGCTAATTATGTACTTCCGTTTTTATTTCCACTGATTTAGTTTTTGTTAAATTTTTAATTATAAAAAGGTAAAGGAAAATGGTGAAAAATTCTATAACGTTGGCTTGCCTAGAGAGTGCGATGTTAGGCGACATCATGGTCCCGGAGGTGGAAAATTCGGGTCTTGGTACTTCTGGAGGAAACACAACGAAGGACATGCATCTTTATGAGTCCTTAATCCTTATATATGTACACTTCCTCTTGAATCTTGTCGCATTTTGCACTCTTCACTTGAGACATAATGTTATCGATGTGGCATTTATTTGGACATCACTAGAAAGTCACATTTTTTATTGCAGGAAAAGTTAAAAGGGGGACCAATGTCTCATGCTGAGGTCTTTGCGGAGACACATAAGAAAAAGAAGAAAGACGGTTCAAGAAAAGGATGGGTTGAGACACGTGCATCGGAACAATATGTAAGATCATAACTTTAAGACTATTTTCACTTTGATACTGATTTATTTATATTAGTGTCGATATGTATTAGCTACTCAGACTTGATATTGAATATTTAGACTTTAACTAATGTTTTGGTTTGATATTATGGGATTTGAATGTTTGTTTGTTGAAGTTGGAATTGGTTGGTTTGATTATTAGATTGTTTAGTTGGAATTGGTTGAGTAGTTGAAATTAATTGGTTGAGTTGGTTGTTTAGTTGGAATTGGTTTGTTGAATTGGTTGTTTATAATATTTGCATTTGACAGGTGGTGTGCTAGTAAAATGGCAGCATTCTGTCAAATTTCAACCCAGTTTTCTGACTGCTGTAGTCGAAAAATGTGCCCAGCATAATGATTTTTCGACTACAGTAGTCAGAAAATGAGGCCAGAATAATGCAAATTCCGACTACTATAGTCGGAAAATACAATAAAATAACTAATAAATAATTATTATTTGTATAATATCCCCACTACAGTAGTTGAAAATATTTTTTAAAATAAATAATATTTTTTTTTCCGACTACTTCAGCCGGAAAATTGCTGCCTTTTCTAATTTTTGGCGGAAAATATTTTCCGAGCTATCTTTTTCCGACTACTCTAAATCGGTCGGAAAGTAGTCGGAATAAGGACTTTTCCGACTACTTTGGTAGTCGAAAAATAACAAATTTCTAGTAGTGTGGTTTAGCCATGTTAATTTAAGTATGATGTGCAAAAATAAAAGAGAATTCACACGGGTAATATTAAAGAACAAGAAATTTCTTAACAATTTCTCTTATGTTGCTTGTTCTTATTAATTAATAGACCAACTAAATTGGGATTGAATTCCATGAATACTGAAAATATCAAAGGTGAATATGGGCTCATTCACCTTCCATGTATACCACATAAGATGCATCTATGAGATGGTTATATATGCGATTATTATTAACCCGCAATATGGCGTTTGCTAGATAACTTGCTCAATAATTTAATTTAGAGCATATTCAAAATATTCATCTTGATAAGTTGGTTTACATCACAGTTGGTTTAGTAAAATGATTTATTGAGTGCCTCCACTTAATAGTTAAATTATTGCTTAAGAGAACAAAGTTAGCTATATCAGTTTGATATACGTTATATACTAAATTATATTACATTCTCCCCTCACAAGTGGTTCAAGGTCAGGAACTAAATAATTCCATCTTCTTATTATTATTATTGATGTGTTGTGTATATTTTGATTAACACCATAATGTACAAACATGGGTTCCTAAAATTGAGGAAGAAAGTTTTTCTAAAATGAGGGGGAGATAAGATAAACAGTTGAGAAAAAGTTACGTGGAATGAATTATCATTTGTACATATAAATAGTTGATATGACTAATTTATTCACCAAATCTCTGCCGATGTCAACCTTCAAGAAGCTAGTGCACAGATTGGGATGAGAAGGCTTAAAGATGTGAATTGATGCCCTCATCAGGGGGAGTTAATACGCGTTGCACTATTTTTTCCCTTACAAGATTTTGTCCCACTGGGTTTTTCTTGCAAAGTTTTTAACGAGGCAACCAAAAGGCGTATTGTTAGATATGTGTACTCTTTTTTCTTCACTAGAATTTTTTCCCACTGGGTTTTATTTTAGTTAAGGTTTTAACGAGGCATATTATTTGTTGAATAGACATTCAAGGGGGAGTGTTATAAATAATTGTACTTAAGGTGAATGTCTATATTTTAGAGAGATTTTAGAGTTTGTTACTTGGTGGTTAAGTCATTTTTCTCTATAAATAGAGGGTTCTATTCCATTGTAATTCATTCCAAATTAATAAGAATTCTCTCCTACTTTTCTCTGCAATACTCTCTTCTTTTTTTATTGTTTCATAACAAATTGCTAATTGTTAAATGTTCTCTCCTCCTTTTCATTTACCTTTTCTTGATTGAAAAATCTCCGCAAGTGCATAAGTGGCCGTGACATCAATTCATTCAATTGTATCCTTAACATTTTGTTAATTTCACAACAAGATTTATAAGTTTTTTATACGATCTATCCATGAAAATATGAATATTATTATTATTATTACAAGAAAGAAAAGATAACCATTGAAAAGGTCTGGGTGTTCTTCACCCTCTAAACAAGATGACATATAAGCATAAAAAAGGAGAGAAAAAAAATCGATAAAATAGTTATATAATCATATCACTTAAAAAGATAATTGTATGTTTAGTTTTGTATTTATTGATAACCTATAATAAATGGTAAATAACTTGTAACAAATTAGATTACGCTATTGGTATTAAAAAAATCTGTATGTTGTAATTGTAAGTTTCACAATATAACCATTTATAAGACTCACTTTCATGATATACCCAAGTTTTAAAATTACATTAAATATCTCAAAAGTAATATATTACACTTCCAAATCTTTTACACATTCTGAAACATACCACAATATTCTAATTTGAAATACTATCTAAATCGGGCAGATCATAACATTCTAATAAAAAGTACAATATTCACAACAAATACTATACCATAAAATTCAGAATACAGTAACTAAACATGCTACAGTATTCCAATCTGAAATATAGATCCAAACTAAACATACCATAATATTTTTAATTTAGAATGTACAGTACTTTATTTTGAAATATAGTAGGTATACAAGGTAAAATAAATTTATAAAGAAGATATATAGGATAGAATAAATATTTTAACTATATATAGCATTAACTGGTATTTTCAGTGGACATATGACGTAGTCATAGGGGTGTCGCGGGTTGGCCAGATTTTGGGCGGGTCAAAATGGGTTGAGTCCATATTTGACCCGCCAAAAGTTACTTGGGCTAAGATGGACTAAAATTTGGATCATAACCCAACCCACCCAACTCTTACCAAGCTTTAACTATTATGTGTTATTTTCTTGTGAATTGTATAATAACTAAATAAATTTTTTTTTTCTTTTGTTATAGTAATATATAACGTATCAAACAAAAAAAAATATTTCTAAAGATATTTTGGCGAAGTTACTCATGGATCAATTTGGGTTAAAAAATAACCCAATTTTAAATGAGTTGAGATGAGTTGGGTCAAGATAAGTTGAGTCCAATAAATGGGCGGGTCAATAACCAGCCCAACCTTGGACGGGTTTGAGCTTGGGCCATTTGACAGTATTAGACGAAAATGTCCCCCTATAACTAACTAAAAGGGAAAAATAGCAAAAGATCGATGATGTTTTCTGAATGACTAAATTTATGGAAGAAAATGAATTTTAGAAAGAAAAAAAGAGATGGACCTGCCAATCAGGCATTTTGAGCTGGCCGCCGTGTAAGGAATACTGCTCTTTAAAGTCAGCCAGACGCGGTCTACTCCAATTCAAGGATACCATAAGATCCAGGCCATATAGCCCAAACCAAATGGGCGAGCCATAAAATCCAGGCCCATACAGCCCAAACCTATATGGGCGAGCCATAAAATCCGGCCCATATAGCCCAATCCATATGCGCTACTCACCTAAGTGTGGGAGAAGTTCCAGAGCATTTTATTTTTGTATTACTAACGAAGATGAATGCATATATCCATTAAGCAAACTTCTTAATAACCAGTAACATCATCTTTATATACTTCTTCTGTCCAAATTTATGTGAAGGGATCCGACGTGTCAACACTTGATTTTTAAAATAAATCTATATATCTTTGAAAACTACATGAAACATACTATAAGTCAATATAGCTATTGATTTAAGCACTTGAATTTGCAAATGGAAAATAACAAAAATTAATTGTTTAACATTTAAAGTTGCACTAGTGCTACAACTTCATTCATCATCAAAGCAGCTTAATGGGATGACAATGCATATTACTTATTGATTTAGGTTCCTTGAGGGGAAAAAATAGAGAAACTAAACGATGTTCCCACCTAGTTAAACAATCTTTAATATCATCGCAAGATTGTTACATCCTGGAAATCTGGAGGGGAACTGTGGCTTTGAGAATTTCTTCCCTGGAGGAAATAAGCTGAACCATTTCAAGACTTCCAAGTCTCTTAATGAGATGCCGGCAGCAATCTTCAGCAGCTATTATTCCAGCAGAATAGGCACCATGCACGGACCCTTGATGGTCATCCATACAGACGGCTTCGCCTCCAAAGAAAAGATTACCTAAGGGTGCTCGAAGCCTATCATATACATCCGTTGGCTTTCCAACCAGATCGTATGAATAACACCCTAGGGAGTCACGATCCGTTCCCCAGCGTGATACAAGATACTGAACCTGTAAATAGTACCAGATATATAGCTATGTCAGGTCAATAGCTATTGATGATAGGCTATAATTGCATATTTTAGTCGCTTATTACACTCGAATTTACTGCACTTTAATTGAGTTTGCGCTTTAATCGCTAGTGTTTTGCACTAATTGTGTGTTTTATGCCTTGTAGGTGTGATTCCGAGCTATATAGATGTTATGGAATGAATTTAAGTGATTTGAAGCTTTGAAGTCTGAGTAAAAGTTCAAGGAATTAAGCCGGGATCGTGTTCGGGGGTCAAATTTGATAATTAAGTACGAACGAAGGCTTGAGGAGGCATATTGCGCACTGTCTAGTAAAATAGACATAACTTTTTTCTCAGAACTCCATTTGGGCTCCACAATATATGGTTGGAAAGATAACTCAAAGGGCTACAACTTTCATGTTTTACGTTTTTCCAAATTCCAAACGGAACAGGGTAAAAAACCGCGGTTTTGCCGCGACCGCGGCAGAACCGCGGTGGAAGGCAGTTTCTGAAGAATGAAGAATCCGCGAGGGCGTTTGGCCGCGGTTCCACCGCGATCGCGGTGAAACCGCGGTGGGAAGCGTAAATTTCAGGGGCTAAAGTGTAAAACATGGGATTTTAAGTCCTAAACCCTATATAAAACAAAGGAGGCCGGCCTAGAACAAGAAGAGGACATATTTTGGACACAAATTAGACCTAAGGAGGCGGAGAGACACTACTTTAGGGTTAGACAACACCCTTGGAGGCAAGAACACATTGGGAGCAAGGCGGAGAATTCTTCTACAAGTTTTTCCTTCCTCTTCCTATTTCTCATTGTTGGTTATGACTTTTAGTATTGTAGTTTTACATACTATTATGAATAGCTAATTTGTTATCTAGAGTTTTGATAGAACCTTTTGTAGGATAAATTCTTGTTATGTTTTTATACAATTGAGCCATAGCTTTTCTCTATTTGTTCAACTACGTTTATATTGTGGTTGATTGAAGAGCTCTCAATTAGCTGTGCCTATTTAGTATGCATAACTCGGGAGAGAGTGCATATTTAGGTAATTGTTGAACAACACCACTCCCAGAGTATATGAGGGATCAATAACCGAGGGTTTAAAGGCGGGATTAGGGATAACGAAGCCTTGGGTGCGATCTGAAGTGAGTTGTATTAAAAGCCAGCTAGCGTAGCTCGGAAGAGTGCGTCTAGTAAATTGTCGTAATTACTCGGGAGAGATTTACGGTAATAAGAGTGCTCATGATCGGTAGAGAATACTTTGGCGAAATTATAGAAGACATAGCGGGAAGGATTCTGACAATTGGGGTAATCATAACTCTAGACCTCCTTAATATTTTCTCTAACCCTCAGTATCTTTAGTTGTTAAATTACTATTTTAATTTGTTAGTTAAGTAGTTAAGCACAAGAATCTTAATATCTATAAGTTAGAAATTGTTCAAGCTTGTCTTCTTGGTGATAGTGAACAGATGTAGCTAAACCTTAGTTCTCTGTGGGATTCGACTCCGGACTTGTAAACCGGATTATATTTGCAACGACCGCATTGTCCTTTTTATAAGAAATAGTTGGGCGTGATCAGCTATCAATGGAAAAAGTTTGTGCGTGCTTCATTTTTATCATTGTCAGAGAGATCGATTTATCCACTATTATTCCCTAGGTTCAGGAAGTGTGTGTTAGACAAACAGATTCATTTGCTCGCTTGTTCGAGATGTACAAAAGAAAATGTGGACCAATTTCTCTCTAGTAAATTAAGAAAATTGTAGCATCGAAAAAAGAAATTAATAAAAGAGTGCTAGATGGATGTGCTTCCTCATTTTATCCTTGTCTTTCACTATTTCCTGTGTTGGGTGTTCAAGGAAATGAAAACGAAAAATGAAGCTGTAAAAACATTATGCAAAGTTAAGTGTGGACTCACCAATAGAAGAAGAATTACTTTAAACTTCTAATCCATCTTTTAGTAACTAAGAATGCATGCAGCAGTAAAAAAAGGTAGTAGAATTACGTAGGAGCACGAATTACTCACAGGTGCAGGTGCATTCGGAAACATTTTCATCAGCTGCCGCATAGCAAAATCAGCAGCATCACTGTCTGATAATTTCTCGACGTCATAAGCAAGTCTTCCAGCAGCCATATAGACAAGGACTCGCTGCCCTGTTGCCTTGTGGAGGTTAAGAAAATAACCACAAGCATAAGAGGTGGGTGCAACAATGCCTAACAATTCAACGTTTGGCCAGAATACGTTATCAAATCGTAATGCAATCTTGTTTTCGTTGCCCACCCCAAGATCTGCTATTGCAGAAAGCTTCCATTCTGGCAATTCTGGTTTGAACTCAATTAAGTTGGCTTTGAGGACCCCAACAGGCACAGTTATTATAGCAGCATCCGCAACAAAAGTCCTCCCATCCTCAACTGTGACCATCACCTTGTTATACCCATTTGTAATCCTCTTAACCCTAGTAATTTAGATCGATGAAAAAATGAGAATTGCAGACATGATCTGGAGAGAAAATTCTAGGTAAATTAAGATAAGAAATAACTGCCAAAAAAATAAAGTTATATTTGTCTCATATTTTTCCACAATCAATACTTGAAAATACTTAGAGGATTGGGTTGGGATTTTGGTGGGGTTGTGGGAGAGCAGGGGCGAATGTAGCGTATGCACAATGGGTTCAATAACTTCAATTGAACCCATAACTTTTGATGCGAAGTAAAAATTCATTAACATTGCAAAAATAGTAGATATGAACCCATAATTTTAAAAATATAATACGCTCAATGCTAAAAACCTTAAAAATTGAACCCATAGAGTTTAAATCCTTGATCCGCCTATGTGGGAGAGTGCTGAGAAATTCTTTATAAATGTACTGCAGAAAAGTTGCATCATAGGGCTTTGATCTAGTGGTAAAAGCACAGCAAAGTTCTACATTAATCTTCAGATTCTAAAGTGAAAAGCCAACAGCATGACAAGCTACAGAAACAAAGACCAATATTTCACATTTCACTGAACCCCAAGCATACCTGTGACTCAAACGGATGTCAATATCTTTTGACAATGCCTCTATCACCGGGTAATAACCCTGCACCATTAATCCATGACCACCTGTAAGAACTTGCTCCTGCACACAAAATAAACAATGTCAATATTACACATCTAGGAACAATTATTTCATCAATCATATCCTAATGGCAGTAATTTAGACCATTTAACGTAAAAATGGAACCAAACTTTCCAATGTGGAAAAATGTAGATCTCAGAAACGGATAGCTGCAACAACACGAGTTGTGCCCTTATCTTCCAACGGCACTTGACAGCTTGTTTTACTTATTGCATCATCAATACTACCAGTTAGAGCCTTGCCATTCGGATGAGGAATATCGTCTTTGGGGATTGGGCACAGGAAGAAAGATCTTTTAGATGCACCTATTATTCAAAATCTACTTTTTTGGAAGTCAACACCTTAAAGCTTACATCTTATGCTGCATGTCAAATTTACATCTTGAAATAAGATTTTAATTCAAGCAAAAATAATCATGTCAGTAAAAGGCATGATGCAAAGTTCACATAGCATAAGCCAAAAATATTCAATAACAAGGAAAGATAATCGCCCAAGAAACTTATAATACCAAGAAAGTAAATAAAAAGCAATGAAATACTAGCCTGATCCCAGGTTTTCAGAGAGATCGTATCTGCATCAGCAGCAAACCAAGCCTCCACTCTGCATATGTACCACTGTAATACTTCATGAGAGATCCCTTCTTGCCTGCAGCATATGAGATTAGTAAATATAACCAGATTCCGTATTTACAAATAAACATAAATTGATCATAAGAGAAGAACTTTCCCCATACCTTAGCTCAGGATGCCTGTCCAATACAACAGAAATTGCTTGAAGAACCGATAGGTCATGACTATGCTCATTTCTTACTTTCTCAGTCTGCACTAGCCGATACACATTATCATTCATTTGCGCCTTCATAAAAATCTCAAAAGGAATGGCACTTGGTGAAAGAAATTCAGAGCAAAGCCAACCTCACTGAGGATTTTCTTGAATGCTTCTCCAACTTCAGCAACTGTGTTTTGAGGAACTTGATGACCGTCCATGTCAAACAGCATGCAACTTTAAAAAGAAAGAAAACACAATCAAGCTCCTGAATGATGGAATAACATCTCTAGTTAATTTACACAAAAGCAAAAAGACTATAGGCAAAAATCTAGCAGACACAGCAGGCTTCAAAATTAGCGCACTGACAGATGTACAAGGCAAGTAACAATTCTTTCACACTGGCGAACTATAAGTCAATTGTTTTCTTCTTATTATGAATCAGAGTATAATGAACCACAAGATACTTTCTTGCAGGAAAAAACTAGTATGACAATTCGAGAACAAGCTAACAGATTTTTTGTTCTGATTTCTGAGAGGTTGCATCAGAATAGGGACAGATACGGGACTTGAAAATATGAAGCCTAGATTTGATGTGTAACTAACAGATCCGGAGCCACCCCCTCACTGAGAGACATATACAGGCAGCGAGAGTGAGAAAGAGGGTGTTTTAACAAAACGAAAATGTCCACTAAGACATGTCAAAACCAGTTCGTAACTAAATGTGCAAATCCAATTTACCTTTCCAAATCATGGTCATACAGCACTGAGTCGTCACCACTAGTTCGATACATAGTAAGCCCCAAACGCCGAATCAATGGAGCCAAAGGATTTTCATTGCACACTCCGTGGAGCCTGAGATGCAACTTGAATAGCAGGAATAAACATCTAGTTCTGGATAGAGAATTGGAGAGGAAAAGATTACTGTTACTCACCATGAAGCTCCCATATCAACTGGACACCCAAACGAGTAGTCAGTGTGTATGCGACCACCAAGTCTATCTCGTGACTCCAGCAAGAGCACCTGCATAAAGATAGACCAACTAAATTAGCACGAAATAAATCAGAATGTGAAAGGGGTTTAAAGTCAGGAGTATCCTCACCTTAAAAGAAGCATTCTGAAGGAAACGTGCAGCTGCTACCCCTGAGATACCTCCACCAACTACAATTACTGATGGAGATGAGCCATGTGGCCTCCCTAAGCGGGGTGGTAAAGTGCCTAAATAACCAAAAAGAAGGATCAGATCGGATATCTGCTGTCAATAGAGAAATCATCCCAAGAACCATACAACATATCTACACTCTTTAGGCGGCATGGATATATATAACGTCTCAAGTCAAACATTAAGATACCAAACAAAGTAAATGCAGAAGCTTAAGGTATAGTGTTAAACTAAATGAACCACAATTAACTGCCAGGAGAGGAGGCAAACTTAGCGCTTGTAAGGCTCAACTACAAAGCTGAAGATCAGAATTCAAATAAACTGCACTTCTTTTTTATTAGGTAAAGTTCAATAAACTGCACTAATGCCTCCAAAATAATGTACAGAGCACTTAAAACTATATTCAGCCATCATTAAAAAAGTAACCAAGAACTAACTCAAATAGTACACTACAATGACTCTCACTATAGGAGTATTACTTTAGAATATGCTTAGCCTTCTTGCATACATAAAGACTGCAACTCAGACACACCTGATTCAGATAAACTAGGAATTAAGACTCGCATCTTTGACACATGAAGATGCCCCAATCTACGATGCCATAACTCGACTTCATTATAAGAAGAATATATGAAATTTATAAAGTAGAGATACAATAAAATGGCTGAATATCCAGCCGCAGTAATTCAGCATACTCTGCAAGATGGATAAAAAATGTCGTCTTGAATTTACGGTTTACAACGATAATAACTCTGTTATGGAATTCTTATTGTTTTTCGTCTATTTTGTTCGGTAAAATCACAACAAACACAGTAATCATTCAAGAATTAAACGTATCTGATAATTCCTCAAACATAAAGACATTAACAATTACGGCAAAATTAAAACGAAGGAGAATTCGATAAAATTAAAGAACTAACTGTCAAGGAGAGAATTTGAGCCAGAATCATCTGCTTTGACTTCCATGAAACAAAAACGATGACGTGAATCCGAAGAATATAGAGAATGTGATTGAAAACCAAGAAGAAAAAGGATTCAGTTTGCAATGGAGATTTTAAGGGTGTATAGGAAGCAAGAAATTGGAAATTAATTGGAAAGAATGATAAAGCATGAAAAGAAGAAGGCCGGCAATGAAGCGGCTGAGATTAAAAGACGAAGAAGAAGAATGTAGCTGCTGCTTATCAAACCCGCTGCTCATAATCATAACCAATTTAATCAAATATTATTATTAACTCCTCCAATAATCGTCGTCCCAATAATTTGATCGATGAATCCTTCGTTTGCATAGATTAATTCACCTCTGCTTCATTCTAACGTCTTTCCCCTTTCTTCTCTCTCTCAGCGGCAATTCGTCGAACAGTTGTTAGGTAGAAATTATACGGAAGCTGTTTTTATAGTGAAGAACAGATGAACAAGAGCATACAAGAAGCAAAAGGCTAACGGCTTTTAAATGCGTAAATCGTGATACTTTTTGTTTGGTTCGGGCGGCTGAAGGAAG